GTTGCGGAGCAACGCGTCCAAGCTAGTCCGCCTTGAATTCCCCCGCAGTGTGCCCCCGGTGTGAGGTGACAGGACCCATCGCGTATCAATTTGATCGCCGAAAGTTAGATCCGATAACGCCCGATCTAACCCGATCGTGTCCTTCTCTCCTCTACCACGATCCAGGCTCACACTCTGATCTCAACCCGCTGAGTTTTGACATTGATTACGAAGGGGGTCATTGATATTTACACTGATGATCCTCGCGGGCACCTCGGTCTGGACTGGAGGGCTGACGTGGATTCGGAATTCCTGTCGCAGCGCAGTGGCCGACCCGACTCCGATTCACTTGCCAGCTCTGCGATCCGTTGATCTGTTGCCGGCTACATTCCAAATACATGGAGAGCCGGAGCCCTCACGATCTATACACCTTCGAACAGTCAGCTCGGACCTCCGCACTCCCATCCCACGATCTCCGCAAACTCGTCGTGTCCGCCAGTTATAAGCACTGAGTTTCGGATACCATCCCAGAACAGCAAGACCCTCGTGCCCTTATATCCGCTCCGAGCTTCAGCTTTCTCTGTCTTATTTCTGGGGGCTTGGCTGTGGCAGGCGGCTACTGGTGTCGGCGTATTTGCGCCCGTCGGGACGCTCGATGTTCTCTTCAACGCCGCGTTCAACCGCCTAACACACCCTCTGTTCCCCAACCACGGTGTCCGCATAAAGCAGAGTACTTTCTGCGACGAGACTGAGGTGCGCCACAATCGCGGCGTTACATCGACGTCGGTGTGCGCCACCTTTTCTTCTACTTCTTCGTTAGCAGAGGCAACCCAGACGTCGATGATGTGATCCTTTGGACCAACGGAGGTATTCCTGCATTACTCTCTTCCCGCAGAGTTATTGACCACGGATGAGGCCCGCGCTATTCGTCTGAAATTGGCTTACTTCTGGAGCTAGGTAGGTACTGCCAGCTCATCCCGTTCAGTTATCTATCCCCCGGATATCATTCGATCGACGTAATCAATCTTCGTAGGCACGTGCAGAGTGGTAGATGCAGATCGCGGACCAGTATTCCACCCCGAATCTTTGAACTCCGACGCAAACATATTCTTCATAGACCAGCCCATCGGGGTGGGGTTCTCGTAAGCGGACTTCAACGAGACAGTGGTACGTGTCGCGCCTCTTCTTCTGCCCAATTGATTTTCCAGTGGTTAATGTAATATCGTAGAGCACGACCGAAGAGACTGCCGGGGATGTGGCCGCATTCGTGGCAATATTCTTCGCTCACTTCAGCAAATTCCAAGGGCGCGGGTTCCACATGGCCGGCGAGTCCTATGCGGTGTGTCTACCAGCTGCCCTGATTTTATCCCTTTAAACGAATCTCAAGGACAATACCTCCCCGTATTTGCCTCTACGGTGTGCGACAACAAGCCACGCCTCGTAACCGCGGGCTTCGCGCCAATCAATATCTCCTCCGTAATGATTGGTATATCTTCGTTCGCAATGGTTGCCATTTGTGCTAAATTTCCCCAGGAAATGGACTGACCGATGTACCGACCATGGTTCCCGCCTGGTAAGACCCAGGGATTCCGTGAATCGACTCACTCACACTTCCAGGGTCGATGTGCAGTGCAGCCCAGTGTCAATCTTTCCGGTTCAAGATATTGGGTACGTGCGGGAATTCGATGCCTCTCGTTTATTTCTCAATTCCTTTGAGTGCAGAACGTGCATCGACATGCAAGAACGGGTACATACCTCTGTGGATACCTTAAAGAACGAGAACTGACCCAGATGTGGTTATACAACTCCCGCGATGCACGAAATGGCTGAAGGACGCGTGTCAAGACCAGTTCGACAGGATCAGCTGCAGTGCGGCCCTGAAATTATTTTTTACCTCCATGCTGGATCCCTACATCGCTACAGGTACTTTCAATCGTAATAGCCAAATGTGAGAATGTAGAATTCAAAAGAGTGGGGAGAATCAAGAAAGTGATTCATTCGAGATATCAAGAGGCCTTTTATACGTCAAGAACAATGTAAATAGAACAATGGACATAAAACAACAAACACAGTGAAAAATGTGTTTCAGACCAGCTGAACACGTAGTTGTTTCAACACAACATCTCCAGGCTGTGCATTGCTGTGCATCTCCATGCTAACCATTGAATGGTTTCAGTGCATCGGCTTGCTGAATTATTCCAACACCAAACACCTTCTAAGGAGTGTAATGAACTTATCCAAGCCTCGACCCCTCGAACCTATCTCGCAAATGCGGTGCTAATCTCTGTGCTACGACGAGATCGAGTACGCCTTCTCGTTTTCTCTCTTTTTTTTTTTTTTTTTTGGAGCGTTTGGGATAATGAGTTTCGGTCTGCAGAAGCATTCCAAAGTCATCCGCTGGGTCTACTAGAAATTCTAGTTAATGCCGGGGAGGTTGTCCAGGGAGGAAACACCATTACGCACAAGTACCATAGTGTGGGACTCCAGCCTTCTCAGCTCACTCACAGGATGCATACCTTAGTTCCAAAGGTAAAATCCCGGTATCCACCTCATTTTATGTGTGGAATCGAGGCAAAAAATGCTAAGGTGGCCCGGTACCCAGTCTCGGATAATATCCCCGAGAGGTGACGGAACGGACCAGTCAAGCCAACCTCTAAGTAATCCCACATTCATGAGGAATCTCCAGTTATTCACTGCCGACACCAAGACACATACCAACCAGACATCGGCTCTTTCTTAGGTACGCATCCTTTGTCCTGATATATTTCAACTCATTCTATTCAATTATTACACTGCGAGACTAATTTTACGGTCGGAATGGTACAGTGGCCAGGGTGGAGTCCTGGGATATAACCAAGATATACCAGTGTTTTGATTACAGCTCTTTCCGAAAACCTTGAGACGCGCGCATTTATTTTGCCAGCGCAGAAATTTTTGATCGATGCTAAGGATTTCCTTTTTTGGATGGCCCGGTCTCACGCGGTAGGTAATGACGTCTTGAGGATTCGGATTGAATCCGATAAGCTTTGTCCTGTATCATGGTCTACCGTACTATTAGCGACGATCTCAAGGAGCATGCTCTCTGGCTTCTTGACAATGACTACCTAACAGCCTCCATCTCGCTCAGCGAAGGGCTAGCAAGACGCAACGGAGCCACCGGCGGACTGCTGGACAGATCAACTGGCACGGTATATTCAGGTGGGTCTTCGTAAACGGGAGGTGGGCTACGTTGGCGCAGGCGGCGGGACTCGAAAGACATGTAAAAGAGACAGAATCAAAAGCGGTGATCGACAGTGGTCTGGACCGGGCCATCCAAAAAAGGAAATCCTTAGCATCAATCAAAAATTTCAGCGCTGGCAAAATAAATGCGCGCGTCTCAAGGTTTTCGGAAAGAGCTGTAATGGTTCGTCGGTTTGACAGGCGGTCAGTCTTGGTCTAATGGTTTTCCGTGTGGTATGATAGGCCATCACTTGGGATGTGGTTGATGGCTCGAAAGGATCCGCCAGGAATTTGTTCTGGGTAAAAGCAGGTTACTGTGTCCATCTGGTTACGAAAATGAGCAGGACCTAAATGTACGGAGCACGAATCCACGCACGAAACACAACCACAGAGTTCAGCACCACATAGAACGAGCCTCGGTCAAGGGTGTACACAATTTTCTGTGAAAAATGCTTTTATATAAACTGGGTGAGAATAGTCTGAATTGGGGAGACTGGGGCTGGCGTTGCGAAGATAGATGATTCGGAGAACACTTCATCCGCCGAATAATGATAATGCCGCAAGTTGAAAGCACGTCAGATGCAGCGTGCCGGGAATTCGCCTCGCTGCAGCCCACTGCTGTACAAAATCCCGCGCCGTGCGAGAAAAGAACTGACGACCGCCCATCGTATTCCCCGAGTCTGCGTCGAACAGACAATCCCCGTTGACTGGAACCCGTGGATACGGTGTACGGGTGCGAGCCGATTCGCGTCCGGGGGGTTGGTCGTAGTATTTCAGGTGTGCAGGTGCCGTGCGATTACCAGTGGGTTAAGTGATTCGAAGGCGATCAATGCGGCACTGTACCAGATCCCATCGTTACTGCACTTCGAGCAGAGAAATAGAGCCCGCCGTGCTCAATTCACAGGCGATCGCGGGATATTAAACCGAAAAAAGATCCCATCCAACACTATATAACTCGGGCCCGGGTGCCTTCCGCATTATGTCAAAGACAACTTTAAGTTGCAGCGGATGTGATACTTTCACCACCGAGTTGCTGACTGTTCTGGAATGGACTGCATGAGATGAGGTGGAATTGGTGAGGCGGGAACGGAATTGATCTTACAGGGAGAGATGATGGAGAGAAGATCCAAATTCGTCCAGGTTCTTGATGTGCGGCAAGCTTTAGACTCCAGCGAAATGAAAATAGGTTTAGCACTCACCATGTTCAATTCACAGTCGCGCGGGGGATAACAGATCAAAATAAGTAAATCAACAAAGACCACATAACTCGGGCCCGGATCGAACGGGCGCCTTCCGCACAACATCGGTGCTAACCATCTCAATTGTGGTACTTTCAGCACCGAGTTGTTGAGTGCTCGAGCTGAACTGTGCATTGATGAGTCGGGGATGAATTGATGTTACAGGGCAGGGAGAACGGATGCGGAGAACATCAAAGTAGGGAATTACTAGATCGTCCTCGTTAAGTCCTCGATGCGCGCAAGCTTTAGTCGCCCACGAAAGACGTGGGTACGTCGGTCGAATTTGTACCCGAGTCTTAGTCGAGCAGACAATCCACGCTGACTGGAGGTCGTCGACGTACGGTGTGCAGATGCGATCCGACTCGCGTCGGGGCGTTGGTCAGAGTGTTTGACTTATGTGAGATCCCTTCCGCTTCCGCGTGGTTTGAAGGGTCCGAGATATCCCGATCGCCGCAGGCGTAAACTACTTCCGCAGAAATAGGTTTGCGCTCGCCATGCTCATTTCAATTTCAAAGCCGCGTACGAGATATTAGTACAGAGCATGACAGAAAAACAGCCGAAGAATAACTCGGGCCCGGGTCGAACGGGCAACTTCCGCATATTATTAATATCGAGGGCAACAGGGTTAACTGCGGCGGATGTGATGCCTTCACCACCGAGTTGTTGATTCCCTTGAAACAAGCTCGAGGATATACGTCAGACCCGGAGCGGCGGGAGTGGAACAGGAATAAGAGTAGAATGGATATTGCAGAGAGAGATTATGGGGAGAAGATCGAAGCAGGAAATCATGTCGTCCTAGTCCATGTTGATGTGGGTAAGCCTTGGAGACTCCAGCGAAATAGGTTTAGTACTATCCACAGTCGCGCACGAGATATTCGTAAAGAATAAGAATAATCAGCGTCCAGTGAAGAATAACCCGGGCCCGGGTCGAACGGGCGCCTTGCGCACAATATAGCGTGTAATGGCGGTGGATTTGATGCGTTCACCACCGAGTTGATAAGTACTCTGAGCTGAACTGGGCGAGATGAGTTAGAATTGCAGAGAAACGCACGCCGTCAAAGGTCCGTGCGCCGGATCATATCCAGCATCACATCCGCCATCACCGTGACAGCTCCGTTACCGTTCCCCTCCCCATGTCGTCGATGCTCGCCCTCCTCCGCCTGCGCACGCCGCGCCTCGCCTCCTGCGCCCTGATTCGCAGTGCCCCGCGGTACCGTATTTGGTGCGTCCCATCTCCGATCTGCGTCGCGTGCGGCGCCGAGGGGCACGAGCGCAAGCACTGCCCCAACCCCGACACGCATCGAGGCGCTCAAGACTGCGCCGATTAAGTGGTGCGACCCTGCGACGAGACGCTGACGGTAGCTTCCGCTGCGGCGAGGAGGGCCACGCGCTCGCAGCGTGCTCGCAGCCGCCCAAAGTCTCGTCCTCTCCTCCTCTCGTTCCTTCCTTGTGTCCTCTTTCGTTTCGTTTTTATCCTTCCTCGCGCTCCAATCCCCGCGCTCCGATCCTCCCCTTCCCTTCGTCCCCCGTCGCGATGTCCTCCTGGCTGTGCTCCGTCCTCCCTCCCCGTCCTTTCGTTTCCTTTTCGTTCTACACCGAGCTCCTGCTTTCCCCTGCCCTTCGTTCCCCGTCGCAACGTCTCCCCCGCACGTCCGTCCGTGTCCACCACCCCCTCCCTCCGTCTCCGTATCTACCCATCCCTCCCTCGGTATTTTCCTTCCTCCCTCCCCCCAGACTAACCCCCCACAGGGCCGCATCTCGCGCGACTGCCCCACCAAAGCGGCTGCCGCGCCGGCTCCCGCTGCGGCGTGACCGTACTTCCGCAAAAGGGATTCGGCCGCACACGCGCGTGCGCGCGAGCGAGCGAACGAACGAATGAGGGCGCGAGCGCGGAAGGGAGGAAGCGGGGAGCGAGCATGGAACTGTGTATGCGTGCATGCCACTGCTCTCATGCGCGTCCCGCTCCCCCACCGAGGTGCGCCCTTTGCCTTTGATGTACGCTCCGCGCACCGTGGGACGCGCTCGGCGCGGCGCAGCTGCCGTATCCACACGGATCCGGATGCATATACGTGGACCAGATCGAGTGAGTGGACTCGATAGACCATGCTTTATGATGCCAGAATCATGCAATATTATCCATCACTTGCCGGTGAACGCCCGGGGTGCAATTAAATTATACATCTGGCTCATACGCGGTTAACAGACATTTATTTTACCGGTACTGTCTTTCCCGCTCGCACACCAAATTGGGTCAATGGCAACGCCAACTCGCTCGTCCTTAGGGAGGGTGATGAGTGACATGAAGGCAGGCCCCCAGTTTAACTATTCCGTCCAGCGCGGCCATCCCGGCGGTTTCAACCGGCGTGAAGGTGACCTCTTTCTTCAACACTGCGTACGTATAATCAGCAGTGTCCATCCGAATTCCCCGGGGCTTCACGCACCAGCCGCAATCGCCGCCGCAAGCTACGGGTACGTGAACTCCGTGCTGACTACGGGGAATGCGTTCCCCAGCACGCCCTTGGTTGCCGTCCTTGTAGTTCGAAAAGCAATGCGACGGCGGCGGCACCAAAGTCGTGCGCGACCCACGTCGCGGACCGTGTCCTCCGGCCCGTATTTGGGGATGGGGATGGTGTACCCGGTGTCGGTCTTCTGCAGCGATCCGATCCTGAAGGGGAGAGAGGTTGATCAGCATCTTTCGCCTGACGCGCTGATTTAACGCGTACTTCCAGAGGTTGTCAGCGAACCAGCCAGTGAGAAGTACGGCGTGCGGCACGCCTGAGGCTCTAAGGTAGTCTCCGGTGACAGATTTGTCTATATCGATGTATGTTGGTGACTCAGGTGTTCGCGCATGCAATATCCGTGTACGTACTGTCGGCATGGTAGACGTGTGTGTATTTTCTCTTGGTTTCTTTCGCGACATTGGGCAGAGAGCTTTCAAGGGGAATTGGTAAGCTGAAAAAACCGACAGAATGTAGAACCCTGTGCGTACCTCCAGATGAGGAACTTGACTCGGACCTTCTTGGCGGCGTCGACGAGGTTCTTCCCCCTGCGCGATCTCGCCCGTGCCTTTAGGGTTGGGGTCGGCAGGAAAGACTTCGGGATCCCGGACATTGGTGACCTGCAGAGGTTTGTGGACCTCAGAACAGGAAAGGCAGAATAGGAATACGTGCACACCCCAAAGACTGCCTCGCTTCCGCGTATAGCCAGCCTTAATCGACTCTAAGGCCTTGACGACCTCGATTCCCTTGGACTATCGCAGAAGCTGCTCCTTATATATTTATGGCCCAGAGATGTTTTGGAATTGCGCGTGGGGGCTGAAACAGAGATTGCTTTGTAATTGCGCCTATGATTGACAATGTAGACGACGTGAAAACGGAACACCGTGTAGAAAAGCCGCCCTTTCTCAGGCGGTCACATGACCGCAGAACGCTAAATCGAGCAAGTTCAGCTCATGCGTGTCCAGATTTGCGAAACAAAAAAAGCTCGAAATAGTATCGAAGATCACCCCGCTCTCCTCCTTTCGCACAGGATACGTGCGATTCTCGTTGATGCGCGGTTTTCTAGCTTTGTGAGCAAAAGCGGGACGACAAACTTCAGGTTCAAAGCATTTGTCAAATGAGCTAATGAGTAAAGACTTTGTTGGAGTTATTACCGGAAGAGGCAACCCGGCATCATGGCCGAGGTTCGAGTCATAACGAGAGTCAGCCAGAGTTGAGTAGAACACAGGAGAACACAGGAGATTATTATGGAACGGTTAATCTTAACGCCGTATCACCGGACCGGTTGCATTTCAAGCACAATTGTGAATATTGTATGAAAAAAAATAAAGAACGTAGTAATGATTCCCACAACTCTGGAACCCTCAAGCGCCGAATATCTTGCTAGACTGGCCCAAAGAACCGTCGCAAGGCGTCAGTGCTACCGCGGAATTGGTAGCCGCAAAGCTGGCACATTGACCGACGCCATTCGTGCCGTCCGTAAGCTCGAACGTGCATCCGTCCGCGGCAAGGTCATTGTCGCCAGCAAATGCGTCGCAGCCGGCACTGCATGTAACCTTGAACTAGAAGGAGGGGGGGGGCGAAAATAAATGAAGGAGCTTTGTAGCACGGCCGGGGAAGCTTACAGTCGCCGCCGAGGTGCTGCTGGCGACCAGCTGCGAACCAGAGACGCCGATCGGCGCCCCGGTATCCTTGCGCGAGAACGTGAACAGATTCGATTGGGAGCCGACTTGGGCCACGAACGCCTCGTTCGCGCTCGGGCTCTTCCTAAAGAACTGTGGGTGGGGTCAGCCCGTCCTAGTGCGCGGTCCCGGAGAGGAAAAACTGACCCAGCCAAGATCGCCTGGCTGAACCAGTTCGTTGCTGTGAGTGAGAGTGTGAGAACATGCCTTGAACGCCTGTGAATTGTGATACGTACGCGTCCACGAAGACATCCCAGCGCGTATGTGCTCCGGAATCCGCGGAAGTGACAATGGTCAAACCGCTGAGGTCTAGAGCGTTCTCACTAGTCAGGTCTCCGGGCACCGATTCTAGATTCAAACGTACTCTGCAGGGGGCAATCGCTCTGCCGCTTGGTGGGAGCAGCGGCAGCAACGGAGATCAAGGCAGCGAGGAATGCCCACGTGAATTGCATGTCGATGAAGGATTTGAAAAAAGGGCGATTAAAAGTGGTGGGGGAAACTAGTGACTTTTGCGCCAGGCAACGAAAGAAGGGAGGAATGAGAATGAAGATGGAAGGATGCTGGAGGCTCTTTTATAGCCAGCAGATCTTATGAAACCCCATGGGGCCCGTTCTGCCAAACCCTGGATTGACCGGCGTTCTCAGCGCTGTTTCGTCGAGCTCAGCTTCGTAGAATGACTGGCGGGCCAAAAGTGACGGCAGATGTTACTGAACCCCATGGGGTCCGTTCTGCCAAGCCCTAGATTTACCGGCGTTCTCGCAGCTGTTTCGTCGAGCTAGGCTTCGTAGAATGATTGGCGGGCCAAAAATGAACTGATGATTACGAATGCATAGTTTCGAACGCGGATCAGGAGTATCTCCGAACACGGACCAGCAGTGTTGTCCGAACACCGATCAGCAATCAGCAAGGATCAGCAGCGTAGCGACATCCCGGTTACTCAGCGTTGTTGGCGTCCGCCGTTTCGTCGGCCCCATTCATTGATTATTCCGGCCCGTAGACTGCTGTTAAATGGCAGGCGGAGTAGTATAGTAGGGTTGCTTGGATACCCACTTTCATGTTTCCGCTGCCGAGTCCGCAACGCAAAGAGATAAAATCTGAATTTTAAGTTTGTAGATACTAGAACCTTCAGTGAGCTATGCTGCCCAATTTACGAATTTAGTGCGTGAAGTGCAGCCACATAAAAAAAAATGCTCTCCCACCGCTTACCGTACTTGCTCCGAGGAAATTTGAAAATTGTATTGTGCCAGAGCTCCCCCGCCCCGAGAAAAAACGGAAGGTCACCTCGCGCTTCCCCGCCCGTAGAAAATAAAAACTGTTTCTTTGCAGGTGGATCCCCGAGTCTGAGCCGAACAGACAATCCCCGCAGAGTGAACTTCCGAGTTCGATCAGGGTGTGCGGGTGCGGTCCGATTCGCATTCGGGGCGTTGGTCGTGGTAGTTGTACCGTGTAAGTACTGTGCGATCTCGCGTGCTTTGAAAGCGA